GGAAAGTTCTTAAAGACGTTGCTATAGGGCTGTGAAACGAAGGGGGGGGGGGAAGGGAGGATAATGAGAAGAAGGAGGGAGAGAGAGGAGGAGGAGGAGCAGGAGAAAGAGAAAAAGAAAGAGAAAGAGGAGAAGAGTGAAGAGTGAGGAGGAAGGAGGAAGGGAAGGAGGAGGAGGTGGAAAGAGGAAGGGGAAAGAACAGAAGGAGCTAGAAAAAGAAGAGGGATAAGAAGAATAGAAGAGGAGGAGAAATAGGCAAAGAAAAAAAAAAAAAAAAAGAAATAGAAGGAGGAGTATGAAGAAAAGACCAGAAAAAAACATGACGATCAAGGAAATGGGGAGAAAGAAAACTAAGAAAGACAAGGGGGAGAAGGAGGAGGAGGAGGAAGAAGCAGAAGCAGAAGCAGAGGCGTGAGAGATGCAGACGAACACACGCGGAGAGGGAATCCGTTAAGTGAATTAGCGGCGCAGTGTAGGCGGCGAGGACGGCGCTAAATAGGCTCGTACCTGACGCGGTGATGTATTGGGGGATCTTTTCCTTTCTCCTCCTCTCCCCCCTCTTCCTTCTCTCGATTTTTCTCTTGTTCGTTCGCTTCTTCTTCCCCCTTCTTCTCCTCCTGTTTCTCTCTCGCTTCTCCCTACCTCCATTTCTTTTTCTCATCTCGCCTCCCCTACTTCTTCTCCATTTTCCCCTCTCCTCTCCCTCCTCTTCTCTCCTCCCTCTCCTCTCCCTCCTCTCCTCTCCCCTTGTCCCATCCGCCGGTCTCCCCCTTCTTCAATCACTCCAACCAAAGTGTTTTCTTGCATATGTTAGCGCTCTTTCACACTCTCTCTCTTATCTCTTTCTCTCTCTCTCTCTCGCTCTCTCTCACCCCCTCCTCTTCTCCCCCTTTCTCTCCCTTCTTCTTCCTCTCCCTCTCCCTCTCTCTCCCTGCCTCCTCATTCTCTTTCTCTTTCCCTCCCTCTCATTTTTTCTCTCTTCTTTTCTCTCTCTCTCATTCTCATTCTTACTCTTTTATTTCCACACCGTACCGTAAAAAATATATTTGAAAAACGAACTTCGGATCAAGGCATTAGAAAGGCCGAGATCTTTTTTTTTTTTCGTAGGGTTCCGCCTCGCTTCCTTCCGCCCCTCCCCCCTCTCCCCCCTCTTCCCCTCACCTTCCAACCTCCCCCCCTCGTCCCCATCCCGCCCCCCTCCTCGCCCGCCCCCCCCCCACCGCCGCCGCAGCTAATCAATCTAATCGGAAAAGTGAAGAAATTTGGGATTCATCGTCTTTGAATATTTCACGAGCAAGACAGGCGTTGGGGAGAGGGGGAAGGGGAGGGGAGGGGGGGAGGGAGTGGAAGGGAAGGGAATGGGAGGGACTGGAGGGGAGGGGAGGGGAGGGAGAGAGGGAAGGAAGGGAGGGTGGAAGAGAGTGAACGAGGGGAGAAAAGAGGGGAAAAGGATATTTATTTTTCTCTTTGGTTTTATTATAGTTTTCGTGTTTGAAAAAAAATCCTTAATCGTAATAGGCCTTTTAGCCTCTCCTATTTTTTTTACCATTATTTTATTTTATTTTATTTTTTCCTCGTTTAATCTTTGCGAGTTTTCTTGATGAAGGAAATGATGCTGTATTACGTGAGATTAATGTGTTTTTTTTTCTTTTTCTTTTTCTTTTTCTTTTACGATTTTCATTATGATTTTTGTTTTTGAAAAGTTTAATGGCGATTTTTTTTCTTATTTTTTCTAAGGGGTGAGGTGGGTAAGGGAGAGGGGGGTGGGTTGGAGATTAAGAACAACGAGAGATTTTGATTGGGGGTGGGGGGGGGTAGGTGTGGCTGGTAATTTATACAGCAGATGTTTCTCTTGTCTACAAAAATCTCCCCTCTCCATTTCTCTTTCCCTTTCCTTGTCCCTTTCTCTCTCCCTTTCTTTTTTCTCTCTCTCTCCCTCTCCCCCTCCTCCTCTCTCCCTCCTTATCTTTCTCTCTCTTTTCCTTTCTCTCTCAATTACATATTTCCCCTCTTCATTCATTTCCCTTTTGTCTCCTTCCAACGCTCCCAATATCTATTCTCTCTGTTTCCTCGTTTTCTTTCTTTACATTGAGGGAAATGAATGTAACTTTAGAACATTTTGCAAAATTAGGTAGAAACAGACAGACAGAGGTTGATGAATATTTTGCATTTGTGCTTTTTTGCACGATATACAACGCTGTAAATATAAATGTATGAGGGAATAAAGAAAAGACAAATGAAAACAAAGTTAAAGAAAAGAAAGAAAGAGAAAGAGAAAAACACATTGAAAGAGGGAATTTTTTTCTTCTTCTTTTTCTTTTTCTTTTTTTCTTCTTTGTCATTGGTTCCGAAAGACTGTGAACTCCCCGCGGGTGTTCGGTGGATGAAAGTGAACACAGAAAAGGGGAGAGAATCTTCCTTTTATACATCAGTCAAAGGCCCGAGATGTGTTCTGGGAAGGGCGGTGCTGGGAAGGGGGGAGGGGAATCCTCGGGAACGCCGCCGTAAGTGACTCATCGCTGGGTCTAGGGGGGCGGGGGGAATGGGAGGGGGAAGAGGGGAAGAGGGGTTAGGAATGGGGAGAGGGAGAAAAGGCGTTAGGAATGGAGGAGGGGTTGTAGGTAGGTTAGGAATGGGGATGGAAGGGGGGGAAGAGGGGTTAGGAATAGAGGAGGGGGTGTAGGGAGGTAAGGAATGGGTGAGGGGGGTGCAAGGGGGTAGGAATGGGGGAGGGGGGGTGCAAGGGGGTAGGAATGGGGGGAAGGGTCGGTAGGAGTCATCGATGTAGATGGAATGAATCTATTTCTTCTACTTTTTTCTTCTCCTTGACATGAAGGAAGGGGGAGGCTAGAAGGGGGGTTGGGGTTGGATAAAGAGCCCCTCCCCCCTCCCCCCCCTTTGCTTTTACCTCATTGGTTCTCATTGCGTTATGTTGGCTCTTCACTCTTTCCTCTCCCTTCCCTCATTCTCCTTCCTCTCTCCTTCATTCCTTCTTCTTCTTCTCCCCATCTCATCATCCCCCCCTCCCCCCCTCCGCGCCATTCATCAGGCTCCTGCATTTTAACACCTCATTTGCCCCAAGAACCGAAGAGATGGGGACCCCCTCCCCCCCTCCCTCCCTCCTTCCCTCCTTCCTATACTCCTTTCCTCCCTCCCTCCCTCCCTCCCTCCCTCCCTCCCTCCCTCCTTCTCCCTCTACCCCCTCCCCTCCCACTCCTCTTTCGCTCGTCGACCCAATCTCCTTAACAACACCTTGCACGGATGACTAACCCCCCCCCCCACCTTCCCTCCCCTCCCACCCTTCATTCCCCCCCTACCCACCCCTCCATCTACTGCACCGCAACTGATTTTTTGTTACTCTGTCTCTTTTCATTCTTTTCTCTCACCTTTTCTTCTTTTCTTTTCTTCCCTTTCCCTCTCCTTGTCCTCTTTTTCTCTGTCCTTTTCCCCTTCTTTTCTTCTTTCTTCTTTTTCCTCTATACTTTCTTCCCATCGAGTTAAGAGCGAAGAAAGGACGAAGAAGAGACGTGGAGGGGGAAAGAGAGAGGAAGAAGAAGAGGAAGAGGGAAAGGGAGAGGAAGGAGGGAGGGGGGAAAGGGAGAGGAAGAGGGGGGGAGGGGGAAAGGGAGAGGAAGAGGGGGGGAGGGGGAAAGGGAGAGGAAGAAGAGGGGTCGTTACAGGTCATGGCTGGCCGTTCAGGTCGTCTCTGTCGCTTCTTGTCGTTCGAAGATCCGCGAGTTAAGGATCGGAAAAAAAGAGGGAGAGGGAAGGAGAGGAAGAAGAGAAGGGGGGGGTGGATAGGGTAGGGAAGGAAAGTAAGGAAGAAGAAATGAGGTGCGAGGGAAGGAGAGGAGGACTGGGAGGGGAAAGAGGTGGAAATAGGGTAGGGAAGGAAGGTAAGGAAGAAGAAATGAGGGGGTGGGGGGAAGGGAATGAAAGAAGGAAGAGGGGAAGGAGGACAGGATTGAAAAGGACGGTAAAGCAGGGATGGGGGGGGGCAAGGGGGAGTGAGATACTTGGGAAACGAAGTAATTGAAAGGTCTCTTTCCGGGGCGCGAACTTGAGGCTCCTTCGGGGTTGAACAGGGGGTGATTTAAAGGCCACCGGAGCGGAGCGTCTGCGGGAGGCTGGCGCGGTGTCCCCGTCTTGGGGCTTTTGGTGTGCTGTTGCTTCTCTTTTTTCCTCATGCTGCTCTTTTTTAGGATTTTTTTCTTGTTATCCTCCGTTTCCACCAAATCTTATTACTCCTCCTCCTCCTATTTTTCCTGTTTTTCTCTCTTCTTTCTCTTCATCCTCCTCCTCCTCCTCCTCCTCCTCCTCCTCCTCCTCCTCCTCCTCTTCCTCCTGCCTCATTCCTCACCTCCTTCTCTCCTTAAGCCTAAGGAGGTTCACTTCCCCGCCATAAATCCGGGCGTAGCGGCTGGTGCGGAACCGGGTGACAGATGCGGGCGTGTGGGCGGGCGGGCGGGCGCGTGCGTTCGTCCTGTCAAATCGGACCAAATGGCTTTTTTTTTCTTCCTCTTTCTTCCTTTTCTCTTTCTCATGCTAGTGTTTTTTTCTATTTCTATCTTTCTCTCTCTATCTGCCTCTTTCTCCTTTTTTTTCCGCCACTCTCTCCCTCTCCCTCCCCCTCCCCCTCTCCCTCCCCCTCCCCCTCCCCCTCCCTATTCCTCTCGAGTGGTCCTCTGGGACGAAGACGGCAGGAAATTGGTCTTGTATGAGGCGTAAAGAAGTAAGCTGGGGGTCCCTGGGGGGGACTTGAGAACTGCAGGGGGGTGGAGGGATAGGAGGAGGGGGGGGGGGAGTGCCGGTGCAGGCGCGCGGATCCGTTGTTGGCCTGAGTTATGGAGCGGTGTGATTGCTTTGGAAGTGTAAACGCTTGGAGGAAAAGGATGTGTTTTTGCAGCTTGTTTCCTTTTAGATTTACTAGAGTCTCTGCCGTTTGACTGCATTCTTGTACAGAATCCCTTTTCTACAACAGATTTTTTCTTCCCTTCCAGGTGCAGCTGACGATCCGGACGCTGCCGGAGCTGCCCGCCGGCGCCAAGTACCAGTGCGTGTGGGGGTCTGCGCCCCCCGCGGACGCCCTGGTCACGGCCACGGGGCTGACGTGCATGACGCCCGCACGCGCGTTCCGGCCGCCCATCGCGCCGCACCGCGACCACGTGCTGGTGCCGCTGGCCGTGCGCTCCAGCGAGACCAACAAGGACTTCGTGTCGCGCAACTTCGCCTTCTACGACTGCAGCCGCCACAACACCTGCGGCAGCTGCGTCAGGAGCGACTGGGCCTGCAACTGGTGCGTCTACGAGAACACGTGCACGCACAACGCGTCCACGTGCAGCGGTAACGTCGTGTCTGGGGAAAACGTAAGCATCCTGCAGCTGCTGAGAGAGGTGTGTGGGCCGGGGTGATGTGCATGGCCAAGGGCGCTCTCTCGCCGCCTCTAAACTCCGCTAACGCTCGCCTTCTCCGCCACGCTGCGCCGCTGGCTGTAGCTCGTAGCTTCTCCGCACCTCCCGCCCGCCGGCGCCGCTCGGCCCGAGGGCGCCTTAGCACCAGACCGTCATCACGTAGGCACTAACACCCATCCATAGAGATAACCCCCGAATCGTAGCTTCTCTCGTGGCAATAAACTCCAGCTTCTCTTTTAAGCCTTTCAGTCACTCTAGATTCCCGCACAGACTCGCGGGACTCACGCCGGTGCCTCGCCGACGAGAAGCACCGCCGCCGCTTCCTGTAGGCTCTCTTGAGGAACCGCCTGCCGCTGTACCTCGTAGGCTCTCTTAGGCTTGGCGCCGCTCCCTGGGGCGGCGCCGACGCTGACGCTCCGAGGCTTCCTTGCGCTTCCTTGCATCCTTCGCGCAGCCCGCGGTTTCCGTAGAAGCTCTCTCGGAAATCAGCGAGAGAGGATTTTCCTTTGTTGCGTTGGCCGAGCGCTCGCTTTCCATTACGTTGAGCAGCCGATGGCACTGGCCCTTTGGTCCAAGTGCCATCGGTGTTTCTGCGGAGTGACTGTGGTGTGTCTGGTGACCGGAAGGGCGACTGTTGCATGCAGCGTAAAGGGTCTGAGCCTTCAGTTCTGTTTTGGTTGGTGGCTGGATTAGACTGCTGTAGACGTAGGCTTAATTAATCTCCCTTGCTTTTGTTTTTACTTCAAACTGACATGACATTTGGAGATATAAAGGTTCCCTTGGGTTTTTATTTAATCAATTTGATTTTCCACATCAGAACCCCGCGCAGCTCGCCTCGCACGGCTCGGGCTTCTGCCCGCGCTTCTGGCAGGACCAGACGCCGCTGCTGGCCGCCGACGGCGCCAAGAGCGAGCTGCAGCTGCTGGTGGAGAACCTGCCGGTGCCGCGCGTGGGCCAGCTCGGCTTCCAGTGCGTGGTGAGCATCGAGGGCGCCACCATGCTGGTGGGCGCGCGGGTCATGGGCGCCGCGGACGAGGACGACGGCAGCATCACGCCCACCACCACCGCCACCAGCAGCCACCAGTACCACCGGCGCGTGCAGCGCGTGGTGTGCGAGGCCACGGTGTACCGCTACGAGTCGGGCGAGGGCGAGTACGAGGCCCGCGTCACGCTGGTGTGGAACCGCGACCACGTGGTGGACGCGCGCCCGCTCACGCTCTACAAGTGCGGCGTGCTGGGCGCCCACCGCGGCCACCACGACTGCTCGCTCTGCGTCACGCGCCACCCGCGCTACCGCTGCACCTGGTGCGGCGCCGCCTGCAGGTACGCGCCCCACTGCCCCTCGCTCACGGGCGTCGCCGCGGCGTCGTCGGCGGGCGTGGCGGCGAGACCCACGATGTTCGGAGGGCGCGTGGATGCGAACGACGCCCGCCTGGCCCAGTGCCCCACGCCCAGGATTGACGTGGTAAGTACGCCCTCACCTTTTGCCCTTGCGACCGAGACGCGACGTAGGTGGCGTGGGCGGCGGCACCCACGCCCTCGCCACGCCGTCGTTGTCAGTGTAGTTTGATAAGAATTCCTTTCGTACTTTATTCCGATGATCCCGTTCGGGATATTTATTCCCTTTCTTCACATTCCTGTCACGTCTTCTTCGTCGGGAAGTTTGCCTTCTCCCTTTCCGATCCTCTTTAATATTGAACGCCTGCCCCGGAGAGAGGAGAGACAAGGACAAGTAGAAGTAGTAAAGAAGAAGAAAAAAAAAGGAACTGATGAAAATTTGATGAAGGAGGGGAGGAAGACGCTCGCGAGGACGTGGCAGCCGCTTCTTATGGCGGCGCTCGAGGGAGACTTCTTCTTTTTTTTTTTTTTTTTTTACTTTTTTTTTCAAGATTATAATTTTCTAGGAACGTGGGAGCAATTAAACGCCGGACACACTTCCCTTTGCCGAGCGTCTTGGCTTACCTCGCGGGGAGATCTCGAGGCGAGGCGAGGGTGCAGGAAGGGGTCGGGAGGAAGGGAGGAGATAGGAAGAAACGAGAATTAAAAAGAATATCTAATTCTTTATATTCCTTCCTGCCTTCCTTTTCCTATACTTCCTTCTCCCTTCCCTCTTCTCTATCTCTCTCTCTTCCTCTTCCTCTTCCTCTCTCTTTCTCTCTTTCTCTCTTTCTCTCTATCTCTCTTTTATCTCTCTTTCTCTCTCTTTCTCTCTCTTTCTCTCTCTCTCTCTCTCTCTCTCTCTCTCTCTCTCTCTCTCTCTCTCTCTCTCTCTCTCTCTCTCTCTCTCTCTCTCTCTCTCTCTCTCTCTCTCTCTCTCTCCTCTCTCCTCTCTCCTCTCTCTCCCCCCCCCCCTCCCTCAGTCGTCGAGAGCGGAGTCGTCTCCCGTGGTCGTAAATAAAAACAGTAGGAAGAAGAAAGTTTCAAGTTTTCAAATCTGTCCCTCAACTCCCCTTTATTCCCTTCCCCCCCTCTATCCCCTCCATCTTGCGCCTCCCCCCCCCCCTCCTCCTCTTCCCCATTACTTAATTGAAGTTTAATACGACAGAGAGAAACAGCAGCTTGAGGGTTTTTTCCCCACCTCCCTCTGCTCTTAAAATACATACACGCACTCGCTCTTTTTATTTTACCCCCCCCCCCCCTCTTTCTTCCTCACTTTCTCTGTCTTGTTATCTCTCTTTTTATCTCTTTTTATCTGTTTCTATTTCTCCTTCCCAACATTCCGTTCCTTCCTCTCTCTCCCTACTCCCTACTCCTTCCTCTTCCCCCCCCCCCCACACACACTTCCCTCCTTACGGCAGATTCGCCATAAATCTCGGGAGGAACATCTCGTATAAGCGGAAGAGACAGATCCTGCTTGGCGCGGCGGGGCAGTGTCATGGAAATGTTCTGGTCCTGTTCTTTTCCTCTCCATCCTCTCCCTCTCTCTCTCTCGTCCCTCTTCTCCTCTCGTCCCTTTTTTTCTCTCTTTCCTCTTCTCATCTCCTTCCTCTTTTTCTCTCGTCCATCTCCTCTTCTTCCTCTTCTCTTCTCCTCCCTCTTCTTCACTCTTCCTTTATTCCTCTTCTGTCGTAGCCTCTTCTCTCGTATCCTCTGGTCTCTTCTCCCTCTCTTCTTCCGTTCTTCTTCGTTCCCTCCCCCCTCTTCCCTCCTTTCTTCTCTCACTTTCTCTTCCTCTCCTCCTCCTCGCACGGCGCTCGGAAGGCAAAGTTTGGATAGTTTGGCATTGTTTTGATCCTGTTTGTTTAAGTAAGTCTGCATTTATATTTATTTCCTCTACTTTACGCGTATTCTCAGATTTATTATATAAAATCCTGTGTATATAGAGCTTCTAGTGTATTAAGATAGGTTTCCGTCCGCGTGGCAGGAGGGGCTTTGATAGTCCAATAAACGGTGAAATCTGGACATATCCGACTCGTCTGCGGTTCGATTCTCCGATTCGACCCCGATTTGGCCACGAATCGACTCTCCGATTCGACTCGGATTCGACTCTCTTGACTCTTTCCCGATTCTCTGACTCAATAATTCACCGATTCGACTCCCCGACTCTTTCCCCATTCTCTGACTCGACTCTCGGACTCAATAATTCTCGGATTCGACTCCCCGACTCGACTCCCCGACTCGACTCTCGGGGCGCCAGGAACGCGAAGTGGATCCACGGGTTTCGGTGCCTCACCGTTACACGCCGCGGCAGCATTAGGCGTCATGTTTATATTCATGGCTGCGGTTGTTCGGGGGGAGGAGAAGGGGGGGAGGGAGAGAGGGGGGGAGAGATGAAGGAGAAAAAAGGGAGAAGGAAGAGCTGTTAGGGATGATGGAAATGGGGGAGGAGGAAGAAAGATAAGAAAAGAGGGAGTGAGAGAATAGAATAAAAGGATGAGGAAAAGGGAAATGCGATGATGAAAGGGAGAACGAGAGGAGGAAAATAATTGAAGAAGAAAAATTGGTACGGAGTGAATGAGAAGAAG